TGAGAATCAAGAAGGGGACTCAAGTTAAAAAGGCAGGGTGGTGAGTTGGCAAGTAGAAAAGCCAATTAAGTGATGATTCTCAGCAAAACATAGGAAGGGGGAAAAGAAACTAATTTTGATAATATCAGGGGAAAACTAGGTTCCTGCTCATGAACCTGATTGTTACTCAGAATTTGAGGACTAATTTTTATCCATAACAACAAGCAGAGTGCTAGACATTTTACATTCATAATCTCATTAAATCTACCAAAAAAAACTCTGTGAAGTAGGTGTCACTGTTCACACTTTACAGATGAGAAAACAGCCTCAGAGAGGTCAGCAAGTTGTCCAAGGTCACACTGTCAGAAAGTAGTAGATCTGGGATGTGAACTCACTGCTAACTCCAAAAGTCCAAGTTCAAGCGTTATGCAATTTGGATCTCAGAGGCATGATTTGCTTTTAAAACCTGGACAGACTGTTGGGTCAGGAAAATGAGTTCTTAAACTTACAATTCTAATTACAACCCTCCACTCTCTCCTGGGACATCATCCCTGGTTACCCTGTTCCTTTCCCAGGGATTGAGGCAATGGCATTTGCCAATCTTTTGCCATGAGCCATGCATTTAAATCAATAAGGCAGCGCTTCTAGACACAGGAATGATTCTGTCAGAGTTCTGCTTTAATTTGTTAAATGAAAGCTTAACAAGAGTTGCGTTCTCCACACTCCCACCTCACCATCACACACAGGACCAGGGAGAGCCAGGAGCAGTGGAGTGCTGGAGCTGGAACTCACTGTGCATGTCTCTTCCCAGCTCTACATCTAGTGACATGGGACACTGGTAGCTTGAAGTCAGCCTTGATGGAAATATTTACACTGTGGAAATCAGCAAATGAATCAGAGCTTTTCAAATGATTTTTAGAAAGCCAGTTGTTAAACATTTACTAGCACACGACTGGCTGGGAGATGTGCTGGCCTGAAGCCTCCCCAGACACTAGGAACCTATTCTGTGGCATATGTTTTTCTGACAATACCGTCATCTTAAGGTTGTACACACTTAAAAGCTCTTTCTTGTAGTTGCTTCATTCCAGACTCGCAAGGGCCTGGTGAAATAGCTATAGTCACTTACAAAAGGGGAACGTGAGACAGAGAGTGACAAAGTAGTATACTCAATGTTACCCAACTAATTGGTGAAAGGGCAGCAGTTAGAACCACTGACTTTCAAACTACACCTTCACAGCACACTGTACATTTCCTTCATTGCACTCTCACAGTGTGTAGCCATATATTTATTTGTGTGCATATATGATAAAATCTGTCTCCTCTATGGGACTAAAAGTTCCACAAAGGCAGGTATCTTAAGTTTATCTGCTCGCCAGTGTCTCTCCTGTAACTAATACATTACCTGCCACCTCAGAGAATGAATAAATTTATGAAAATGGGTGAATGAATGTGCATATGGTTCTTTTTTCCTACAACAGTGCACTGCGAAATATCTGACTTCTGATAACCAAAAAAAATGGTGCGAAAACTAAACAGAGATATCACCTAGCCTGGAAACGGTTCTTTAGCTTTCAACCACAACATACAGACAGTAAAACAGGCTTCCACTATGATTCTGTGAAGAATAAGGAAAAGGGCTGGAGCACAAGAGTTCGACAGAAATGCCTACAAGCTGAGACTACTTCAGTGGCAGGGATAAGTGCTCCAGGACGGCCCATTTTACTCAGGATGTGCAGGTCCAGCCTGGTTTGGCTGCCTGTCTAACCAGAGTGGCTGAGGCTACTTCACTCATTCCCTGCAGATGAATGCAGATTGACATAGGGGTGGAGAATGTCTGCCAGAAAATATGGTGAATGGAGCTGCAAACTCGTGAAAATGATGTGTTACCAAAAATTAAAGATTCAAGCCATATGTAAAAGCAAGAGGTAAATACCTCAGTCCTTTAACTGAGAAGGAATTCAGGCCAGGGAGCTACATGGAAGGTGAGGCCAAAATGGCTCACAGGGACAATTCAGATATAGGCTTTAATGGCTGTAGGCTGGTGTCCCATTGGATAGAGGGTCCAAGGCCACAGGATACTTGTGCACATTTTGCCCCAGCTGTAAAACTAGAACCAGATGGACTCTCCATCTGCTGTGGGGAAGGGGAAGAAAGCCTGAAGGAGTGGGGTCTGGGGGAGAGACAGGGAATAAAAACTATACCTTCAAGAAATCTGAACCCAGGTGCATGCCACATACAGACATTATCCAGTTGGTATATTGGATACCCAAGACAAAAGGTAATACAAAACAGTTTCCTAACCAATAAACCTGCCCTACAGGGGTACTTCCACAGCCCAGGACAACCTAGATTCCCATGCATATAACACCCTCTGAAGATGAAGTCACAATCAAAAATTATAAATCACTAAAAAATGAATTAACAAAATAAAGATCAACAGATACAATAAACACTAGAATATCTGGGGCAACCAAAGAAAGGTGTCCTAAAGACTCTTCCCTATAATGTGTTCCTAAGAGTACTAGATGCAGGAGGCATTCTGTAATAAAGAGGCTCAGGGGACAAATGAACCAGAGGAACACATCATACTATATTCCCAAATCTCATTTAAAAATTCACAAAGCTCATTAACATTAAAGCTCTGACAAGTCCTGCTGTAAAGAAGCCTGGTTACTTTGTTTAGCCAGTGTCTTCTAAATGTATCTAACCTGAAAACACTTTTAAAAAAAAAACTCAAACACCTATAAACATCTTGCAATGTTTTATGTAAAAGCAAGAGGTGGTTTTATGGGACACAGTTGGGCAAATACTGACCTAAAGAAGAAATTTCTCACTCCTTAACCCTCTTTGTAGACCTCTACTCCAATTCCCCTACCTTATCTCCCACTATCCCCCATCAAAGACCCTTGATTCTCTTCACAAAGTTTGCTTTTCCCCCAAGCACAATAAGATATTCCAAACTTCCATGTCTGTATTTCTATTATTCTTCTAACCTAATGGCTTTCCAAAATTCTACTCTCATTCTCCAGGTTTTTGCTCAACTATTACCATCTTCTTGATGCCTTCCCCATACAAGAATCTGGAAAAAAATATTCTAGGGTGTTTTCCTTGAATGTTGATTTTAAGCAATTACTTCTCCTGGCCACATACCATGAACACATTTTAGTTTGTATTCCCACCAGACAATGAGTCCTTGAATAGTAATGATTAGGTATCATTCATTCCTGTAACCTTGTTGGGGTGGGGGTGCATTAATATTAAGAGCAGGAACTTGGAGAGGCAGACACACTCAGCCTCAAATCATGAAGCTATCTATTGTTAACAAGCTGTGTCACCTCTCTGAGCCTTAGTTTCTTCCTCTGCAAGATGGAAACAATAATCTCTGCCTTGCAAGTTGTTGTGAGGATTAGAAATGGTGTGCTAAACAGTATGCAGGGCAAAGAAGTCAGACACAAAAGCATACTCACACCATTATTCCATCATTCCATTTACATAAGGTTCCAAAACTGGTAAAACTCATCTAAGGAATAAGAAGTCAAGATGGTAGTTACCCTTCCCAGGGTTGAGGGCAGTAACACAAAGGGATTTGTTTCTAGGGTTTGTTTCTTGATCTGGATGCCAGTCATGTAGGTGCTTCATTCTGTACAACGCTGAGTTGTGCACTTTTTATTGTTCTCTTTTTATGAACTTGCTTCAATACAAATTTCACTTTTTAAAAAAATGAAGCCGGGCTCGGTGGCTCAGCCTGTAATCCCGCGCCTTTGGGAGGCTGAGGTGAGTGGATTGCCTAAGCCCGCGGGTTCAAGACCCACCTGGGCAGTGAGACCTCATCTCTACAATAAATCAAAAAAAAAAAATCAGCCGGGCGTGGTAGCGCATGCCTGTAATTCCGGCTACTTGGAAGGCTGAGGTGGAAGGATCGCCAGAGCCCAGCAGGTCAAGGCTGCGGTGGCCGGCAGCGGCCACTGCACTCCAGTCTGGGTGACAGAGTGAGACTCCAACTCAAAAAAAAAAAAAAAAAATGATGTGTCATCTGGGCTTGGTGGCTCAGCCTGTAATCCCGCACCTTGGGAGGCTGAGGTGAGTGGATTGCCTGAGCCCGCGGATTCAAGACCCACCTGGGCAACTTGGCGAGACTTCATCTCTACAATAAATCAAAAAAATTAGCCGAATGTGGTAGCGTGCGCCTGTAGTTCCAGTTACTTGGAAGGCTGAGGCAGAAGGATTGCTGGAGCCCAGTAGGTCGAGGCTGTGGTGGCTAGGAGCGGCCACTGCACTCCGGTCTGGGTGACAGAGTGAGAATCCAACTCAAAAAAAAAAAAAGAAATGATGTATGAAACACTGGGTGGTCACAGTAGATTTTGGGGCATTCTGCACTTATGTGGTTATTGAATTGCATTCTCCAAAGGATAATGGGCCTCTCCAGAGGCCCAGGCCATACCCTTGTGTGCAAGGCTGAGAAACCAGCAACCCAACTAAGATGAGAGTAAGGCAGGGCTGCCAGCAGCTCAGCCTGAGCAGCAGGGTGTACCTGCTCAGTCATCAAGGCATGCCTAGGCAGACAACGCTCATGCCCGGCCTGCTGGCCAAGGCTGTCCAGTCTGCAACCCACAAGCACCAGTTAGAGAGGCTAGGAGTTCAGACAGAAGGGCAAGCAGCACCAGTGATCCTGGGAGACAAAATCCCTCCCAAGAGATAAGGTGGCCCCTGAGCTACAGTTTCAGAAGACAACAGCACATCTTAAAATGTGATAACGCAGAGAAACTAACCTGTAGTTCTCATTATAGAACATGCTTGGCACTAATCTAATTTTTTTTAAAGAGACTTAACCAGTTTCTTCCTGGCCTAAAAGGTAGGCCATTTCCCTGTTAGTACTCACCCAGAGCTGTCTCTGAGAAGCTTCCATAGTATTTCACAGGAAGGTATGGAATTCTGGAGACAAAGATACATATTTAACAGCTGGATTCAGAGAAGTCCATTAACTTGCTAGGCCCCCACAGCAACTCAGTGGCAAAACTGCGCTAGAACACAAGAGTCCTATCTCTTTGTTTAGAATGCGTTTGTCCCAGATGGTTGCTTACCCTGCCCCCTGCATCACTGAGGATATTGATGGGCAGAGCTGAACTTCGTGTCTCAACAGGGAGTACAATCAACAGGTTGTGGGCTCACAGCTCTAACCCTGTAACACCTCCCATGTGGAAGAGTCAGATACCTGGGAGGGGCTTACTCCTCTGTGTCTGGCTTTATCTTCAGGGTAGAGTGGGAGGGGAAGGTCCTGCCCAAAGAACTAAATGGTTTTGTGTGATTCCTACCAGATCCATTTATCCTCTCTCAAATAACAGGAATTTTAAAACAAAAACCACATAAAGGAAAAACAAGAAAACCATGGCAAAGATCCATGCCCACTCCTGCCCTTTGGCTCCCCCATCTGTCTTTATTCTCTGGGAAATTGTTGAAATTATGCCCATAACCTCAGCTGGCTCAGTACAGAGTCCATCCCCAGTCTGACTCTTCACTCCCTCAGGAAATGTCTGCCAATCCCCTCCATGGTGCCTCCTGGGCACTGTGTCAAGTACTGTTCAGGACTCGAGGATGACCAAGGCACACTCACAGCCCTTGAGGTGTTGGACTACAGTGAAGGAGATAAGGAGTAGGCAAAAACAAGTGATGCTGGAAGAAGGACAGTCTCTGAGCCCTGGGAAAGGCTCAGGCGGGGCTGGGGAGCACAAGGTCACCACCATTCTCCACGCCTTCTAGGTACTAGGCCCCAGGTCATGCCAACAGTCCAGAGCAATACAGGCACTGGGAAGGGCTTCCCCTTGAGAAAGGCTCCAGTTAACAGTTATAACTGGCAGTAGCAGCAGCAGTAACAATAATAATAGTGGCAATAATAAGAGTAGCTTATGGTAATGAACAATTCCTATATTCTAAGCACTTTTCATATACCACCTCATTTCATCCTCAGAACAACTCTACCAGGTAGATACTTTATGACCATTACCCACCTTCTACAGATGAGAAAACTGAGCCTTGAAGAGGTTATTTTATACATTCATTCAACAGATATTTTTTCAGTGTCTATCATGAACCTTTCAGCACTCTAGCAGTGACCATTAGACAGACAAAATTCCTGACTATATGGTGCATGCATTCTGCTGGGAGATAAATAACTACCCCAAGTTTCTTAGCTTGTTTAAGAAGGGGAGTCAGAATTCGAATCCAGCCACTCTGACATAGAACCATATTTTCAAACTTCCAAGAACCAAGCTGCCTAGGTCTGGCCACAGCTGCTTATACTCACCATTAATAGTAAAATACCACATTCCCTCTGTTAGGTCACACCCCCAATGGGGGCCTCCAGAATGTTAGCTTAGACCTGCCGGGGGTGTAGGTATCTGATGTGAGATCTGGTGCTGGGAGAAAGTTGCAAAGAATTGCACAGAAGTTCGATTATAAAATATAGCTTATTTAAAACTAAATTAGAGAGAGAGAGGGGAGATTCACCGCCCCAAGATAGGGAAGGGGGCCAAAACTTAAGAAAACATGGCCTGGTCATAGTTCAAAGAGCACATGGCCACACCATAGCTTAGCAAGGAAATGGCCCTTGCTGCTCCTGGTTGAATTCTTTTAAATCCTGCCCTTGATGGGGGAAAGACATTAAGGTGATTGGGTGGTGGTTTCGCCCTCTATTTTAAGATGCACGTGTTTTTCACATTCTAACATTTGAAGTCTGGCTGCATCTTATAATCTATGTTGAAAGAAACCTATAGGCTGCAGGCAGACAGTAAGTCATAATATAGCTGATAGTGCTGCTCAAGTGTGGATTTAGCTGAATGCAAGCTATTTGATCACCAACTCAGTTGAGTTTTCTGCAAATTTAACATTATATGCAGATGGATTTTAACTTAAGATCCTAATATTACTTCAAATACATTTTAAAATTCCACTATAAAACAGTATTGAAAGCAAAAGCCATTATGCATGTGAGAGATTGCTTATTACACACAATGTAATTAAAGGGAATAGAAATCACCAAATCTCCTGGAACAGACACAGAATTTTCAAAGCCTAAAGGACTAAAATTCAAATGAAAAACATCTAATTGTCAGAAGCTTCCAGCTATTTAACTTCCAGCAATACGTGATCAATTAAGGGAAAATATAACTATTCTTTGCTATTCTTTGATAAGCCTCAAAATTACACTGCCAACCTTAAAGGTACTAGAGGGATCAAGTGCGTGAATAATCTGCTTTGTGCAAAGCAGCACATAATTCTGAAGTTATGCATAATTTCTAAGAGCCAAACATAATGCAGAACTTCATTAATGTGAAAAATGCCTATACTCCAAACTCTGGTTATACAGAAAAAGCAACTCATATATAAGGATATAAATTATTGAGAAACACTACAGACAATTTTTTTAAATGTATACATTTAAAGTCATGTCTCTTCACTTCTGGAAAGATGCAATTAACTCAGGGGCATATTTTATCATTATCAGTGGTGAAATTGATGCCATCATCAGTATTATTAATGATGCCTCAAAATAGAGGATTATGACAATTCCAATGACAACTGCTATTTATTGAGTACCTGCCAAACACTGAATTTGGTATTTTGCATCCATGATCTCTAATGACAACTTTATAAAGGAAGTACTATTAGAATTCCCATTTTACATTTAAGAAAACTAAGGTGCAAAGAGACCAGTAACTTCTCAAGGTCATACAGTCAGCAAGCAGAGACTAGAAACAGATCTGCCTAAGTCCAAAGCCCAAGTGGTATCCAGACCACCTCACCCTACTGACAAGCTATCCCACCCATTTCCTGACACAGCAAGCATAGAATAGCCCTCACTTGAAGAAAACCTCCTATGGTTTCAGAGCAGGATGGGCCAGCATGAATTCAACATAACAAGGTGCCCTTACTCTCAACCCAAACGCCTCCAAGTTGATTCAAAACCTGCTACTTATATGAGCACTTCCATTTTCTCAATCTACACTTGACAACATGCTTAAGTAGGCCCTAAATTGACCAGCTATCTCAACATTCACACAGCCAATCAACTGACAGTTTCATTTCTTCAAGGTGTGCCAATTTGGTAGCAAAATCCAGAGAAGATAGTAAGTGTGCTTGGCAAGAACAAGGGCATCCTCTCAGTTTCTGAGTCTAAGACTCAGAGCCTATGGGCTGGCCAGCGGCATTTTTCCTATGGAGATGGTGATTCACATTAGAGTTAGTGAAAGCAGAGGTCTCCCTGAGCCTAAGGGAGAACCCGGTTTATTATGCCAGTCACCTTCTGGAGATCCATCACAAGTCTCAGGGAAGCCCACAGTTCTAACAAATAAATGTTTTTTTTCCTGGTCAAACTCCTCCAGGATGACAGGCAGTGGTCTGTGAATTTTACTCCATTCTCTGGACATGTGGACACAATTTCCCTTCTGATGTAAAATCCTTTTCAAGGGTTTTTCCTTAAATATTCCCTCAGGAAAGAGCCTTAAGCTTACATGCAAAGAATGGCTAAGATAATTCAAGAAACATTTATTGAGCATCTCTGAAGATACAGAAATGCAGAAGATGTAGTCTGTACCATCAGGGAACTCACAGTTGAGTGTGGGAAGACAATCAGCTCAGAGCTAACTGCACACAATAAGAGAACAAGGTGAGTGCTATCCTGGAACACAGAGGAGGACAGGATTAGTTCCAGGTACAGGGTAAATAATAAACTGAGCTAACACAGATTGAACATCTACTAGATACCAGGAGCTATACCAGACATGTTACATTCATTATCACACTTAATCTCCCCATGGAATATGTTCTAATAATATTATTCCCACTTTATAAATGAGAAAACAAAGGAGAGGCACAGTACCTTACCCAAGGTATGGGCCCTCCTGACCAACACTGAAGCTCATGTTATTTTTACTATAGTAGATTACATCTCCTGGAGTAAAGATATCCTTCCTGGTAGAAGAGAAATCTGAACTTGTTCCCTCTTCTGTAATATAAAGACAAAGCAAAGCCTGCTTCACAGGGCTATGGTGAAGGTGGAATGAACCAAAGAACATAAAGCACTTAGCATAGTGTTTAGCAAGTGCAAATATTCAGGAAATAGAGGCAGCTTTGTCATCATTGGCATCATCACTGTCATGTCTTCTTTAAAGAGTCCAGAATGTAGTGGTCATGGGCCAGAAAGCCTTTTTTGCCTTAGTTTAAACAGATGTTTTCTTAAATACATGCTTTGTTTCTCTGGAAAAAAGAAAAGATCTCACTAAATCACAAATCCCTCCCCTGACCAATTGACAAGTGAGGTTCCTATATTCCCAAAGAGCCCAGTCATACCTTCTCTTCCGAAGAAACAGTCAGCTTGTCACTGGATATCAAGCTGCACACCTGGTCCAGACTCAGGCTAAGAAACTCTTCCCCCAGCATCACCTCTGGAAAGTGCTGCTCTGTACCAAAAAAAAGCAAAAGTTAAGAAAATAAAGTTATAACACACTCCTGCCCTTCCACGAGCCAACGCCATGACAATCTGTGGAATTCAGAGCAGAGTCCTGGAGGAGATGGGGGTGGGGAGGAAGAGGGGGAGAGAGGGAAAGACAGAAATATCCTGGCTGGAGGGAAACTAACCTTTTAATTCATCAGTGAAAGCATCACCCCTGTGATCCACCATCCTGAACATCAACAGATGAAAATAGGGCAGAAAGATCCAAATGTATATATTTTCCATGCTCCATGAGATTAATAATAGCATTGCATAAAAGCCTCACAGGGACCTGTCTACATAATTGAGCTCATTCCCCCTCAGGGTGCAAGCTGGTAGAGCTGCAGACAGTGTCCCCTGCAGCCCAGTCAAACAAAAGTGGGTCAGAACCGCTGTGTGGTTGTGAAGTCTCTGGGACTTCTTGTAGGAAGTCAACATTAGAAGGCTGAAAGACTAGATCATCCTTTCTTTCCCAAAGTCAAGCCTACTTTAGTGAGTCTCTGGTTCATGAGGAGGCCCAACTAAGCAAACATCCCGGTGTGGAGGCAATGGGGTGGCCCTGCCACCACTAGGAACAGTCCACAGCAGCCAGGCCCATGGAGCTATAAAACAGATGGAAATTTGGTGATAACTAGAACAAGCTAAAACCCACATGCCTGAGGTTCACACAGGAAAATGCCAGGGGAAATTCCTATTGTGATATGTGCCCAGGTCTTGCTATTATAGCATTATAGTCACTGAAATGTCATCCACTTCAGAAAGAAGGAAGATAGGTTCAAATCCTGGCTTTGCCATTTATGAACTGTGTTCTTGGGCCAACGGCATCACCTTGCTCCCATGCGCTGATGCTCTGATGAGAAAGGAGCTGTGAAAGTGTTTTGCAAGCTCTTCCAAGGTGAATCTGCCCCAGGACTGACAGTCCCCAGCTCAGCAGGCTCTGGAGATCACAGACCCTTCATCATTTGCTCAGACCTTGCTCCATTTTCAGCTCTCTCTCAGCCCTGTACCATGACCCCAAAAAGTATCAGTGCTCCTTGCCCTCAGGCCTCCCTCTCCTTCTCTGGTGGACGCCTCTAACCTGACAGCCTCCTGGATAACCCTAAAGGGCTACACCTCCCAGTGCCCACCAAGCCACCCCCACTTGATCTGGTTGGCTTCCTGAATGAGATTCAGGGTCCCTTCATCCCTGGGAGGCCGCTGAAATATCAAGTCTGCTGAAGCAGCAATCAAAAGAGAAATGAGAGCATGTTAAACTTGTTTCTCACACTCATCAATTGCCTTTTTTTTTTTTTTTTTTTAAGACAAGGGCTATATTGTCCAGGTCAGTGTGGTCATGAACTCCCGGCCTCAAGCTATCCTCCCACCTCAGCCTCCTGAGAAGCTGGGACTACAGGCATGCACCATCACCCTAGTTTCATCAACTTCTTAAAAACCAACAAAGAACTTAAGATTTAAATCATTTCTTGAAAAAAAAATCATTTTTCACTTTTTATACTGAAATAACTTCAGATCCAAAAAAATTTTCACATGAATTTCCACCTTTATCCAGATTCCCTAAATGTTTATCACTTATGACCAAAGATTGAGTTGTAAACAGTCTTTTCCATCTTTCACTGGACAAAAAGGGCTTCTATTTGCTCCACACCTGCCTATTGATGTCCCTGTGGTCACAACTAAGGGTTGTCTGTCTCAAAGTTCAGGAATGTGTACACATATCGAGACAAATCTGAAAGTCAGATTCTTTCTGAAGGAAAGAAATTGTCAAAGTCAGCAGAATAAGAAACTGGTCTTTCCTTCTCTATATGTCAATAAGAAAAAGTCTTTAGTTAAAATTTAGTTTTTAGGTTAAGCATTCAAATAACCGTCTTAACCACGGAAATATTTAAGACTAGATAGTATTCTTTTTAAAGTGTTCATCTCTGAAGATCTTAAACAAGCAGTCTTCTTTGGATAATGAAAATTTATTCCTGGCCTGGAGGCTGGGAAAATAACTGGATTCATCCTCCATGCCCTTTCTGGTCCAAGAAGTATTTGGATCACAGCCTCCTGTGGACTAGCAACACCCAAGAAACAGCAGATAGAAAAAGCAGTCACCAAACAAGCCACCACGATGAAGCATGAGACATGAAGGCTCTGTGGACCAGCCATGACTGAACTCAGCGGGACCACTAAGTACCCAGGAGAGTCAGGCAAACCAGCACCAACATCTCTGTGGCCTGGAGCCACATATGGCATTTCACACTTATCTTTGGTTGATCAAAAACCTGACCTTTGGAGGAGGGAAAAGAATGAAGAGAACAAGAGGAGGTAAGAAAATAAAATTCTGGGCTTGGATTCTAAAAAGGAAGACAAAGAAATCATAGTAATGCATATTCCAGGAACAAGAAACAAATCAAAAATCCTCAGGGATAAATCAAGACAGAAAGTAGTCATTCTGCACAGTTAAATCTCTCCATCTCTCACCTCTAATCTCTCCATCTCTCCCCCAGCAGGGTTTGAGTCTAGATCTCTTCTTTCTGAAGTGGGCTGCTTCTTTGCCTATCTGGAACCTTCCACTGAAATCTCATTCAGAAATCCTCCCAGGAAGCAATGTCCGGTGGGTATGGGGCACCAAGGAACCCAGGAGATTTGTAGGAAGAGACAAAGAAAGGAATCAAAGAGGAAGACTTCTCTTCTCCCTTTAGTATGAGGAGACAGTCCCCTTTCTGTTAGCAACACTCAAGAAACAACGGGATAGAAAAAAAAAAAACAGGAACAGGATGCTCTGGCTCGCACGATTTCCTGGGAAATAGGATTTCCCCAGAAGACTCTGTACTAAAGTCAGTCCTTTTCACAGCTACTTCCTGAAAAGAACCCAACCTGCTGCCAGAAGATACCTCCCTAAGAATCATCTTCTACTTTTAACAATTATTGGGGTTTTTTGTTTGTTTTGCTTTGCTTTTACTGTATTAATGGAGAATGCTGTGAGGAGCCTTGGCTGAGAGTCGAAAGACCTGGGATTATCCCTTACAGTCACTTCTTTCCAGGCTTTCACTTCCTCATCCATAAAATGGAACCATAATTCCTGATCACAGTCTTAAGATTGTTTTGAAGTTCAAAGATGATCATGTATATATGTTCATTTTGAGATCTTTAAGAAATAAAAGATGAATATTATCAGCCCATGTCCCTGCTTTGCAAAATCCAGTTCCATGGGCGGCAGCACTCTTTAACAGAGAAGCACAGCATAACATCAAGATATCCCTGGGGACTGCACATCCTATAGGCAAAGCTGTAGGTCTACAAGGTCTTAGAGACAAGTTTAATTCCATCGAGTTCAACAAACTTTGTAGTGATACAAGTTACTCAATTTTTTTTTTTTAAGTCAGAGTCTCACTCTGTCACCCAGGCTAAAGTGCAATGACATGCTGCTCACAGTCACCACAGCCTCACCTGCTAGGCTTAGGCAATCCTTCCGCCTCAGATTTCGAAGTAGCTGGAACTACAGGTACACATGACCATGCCCAGCAAATTTTTCTTGATTTATTGTAGAGATGAGATCTCACCAAGTTGCCCAGGCTGGTCTGGAACACCTGGGCTCAGGCAATCCTCTCACCTCGGCCTCCCAAAATGCTGGGATTATAGGCATAAGCCACCACGCCCAGCCCTCAATTTCTTAAGGTTGCAGGTTTCCCATCTATTCAATGGGACTAAATAGTTCCTATCTCATAAAGGTGTTACAAGCATTAAATAAGGAAATATTTTAACCCGCATTTACTGAGACCACTGCAAGTGCTAGATAACTGCTCACATATGGTGTACCAAATGCAGCGTTTCTTCAATAATGAAGAAACTAGGACCGAAGCTTACAAGGAACCTGTTGGCTCATAAGAGAGATAAGACAAGGTACAAATAACTCCAACCCAAAGTACACAGGGCTATGATTGGAAGACATACTTCAAGTATAAGCAAAAGAAGGGAAGCAGGAAAATTCGGAGCAGCAATAATGTGTGGAGAGCAGCAATAATGAAGTCTGGCTAGAACCTAGGCTATGTCTGTATTCGTCCAACAAAGGTTTACTGAGCACCCACTAAATATGGAGATTCCAGGCTACTGAAGATGCAATGGAGAGGCAGACAAGGCTATATCTTGGGGAGGGATGCATATACAGGGGATATAGTGTACTTTAACCATGGGCTAGCTCCTTAAAGGTTAACACTCCAATAATAAACTCTAACTTTTCTTGTCTTTTTTCTCTTGTTTTCAAAGAGGAGTGAAAACAGAAAAAAAGAAGTCAATTAAGGGTCTAGTTAAGACTCCTAATTAGCCCTTTACTTAAGCAACAAACACTATTTAAGTTTCAAGTCCTGATTAGTAAAACACAATGGGAATGTTCCTGTCTATTTGGATGAGAAATCATGAGAAAGAGGGAGAGGTACCACATAAGTTCTAGTCCCTTCCCCACCAAGCAACACACCCACATATCTTCCCAATGTAGAAAGGATAATAAGATTTGGGTGGCATATTCCCAGGAAAAGACTTTCTCTGGGAGCACAATTGAGTATTTTCAACAAAGAAAGCATGGAGAATGTCGAGAGGCACTTGCTAATAGTAGCTAACACTGTGCTAAGTATTTTACATATATTATGTCACTTAATCTCCCAAAAAGCGCTTTTGAAATGAATATCAATATTCCCATTTTACAGATGGAGAAACAAAAGCTCAGAAAGTCTCAGTCATGTGCTTAGTTTCACATAACAGTAAGTGATAGAGTATCATTTTGAAATCAAGGCAATCTGATTATATTATAACAAATTATAGTGTTATTATTATAACAAATATTCTGATGAGTGCCTTAGTCACTAAGATAATAAAAATCAGTCCTGAGCAGGCCATTGGGTAAAACTCAATACAGACATCAGAAAACCTTAGGAATCCCTCCCAGGGTTCCAGAGACAGAAAGAGACAGGGAGAGACAGAGACAGAGAG